GCATGTCCCGTCACTGACATGCTGTTATCGCTGCGTGAATCCACACGCACAATGAGGCTTAAGGGATCCTTTTCTCTGAGAGGAGATAGACCCGTAGACCAGGACAAAGGCTTCAAACTATCCAAATTATCTCTTCTGGGTGTTCCTCAAAAGGTATTATAGTTATCTGGGAGAACCATCTTAAATGCTTTTGCCCCACATGTCAAAGCAAAAAGTCTTATTTTGCACAACGCACATCACAGTGGGATGTAACGTTTTTTTAATTATTTTTGCCAGGTTGCAATTTTGTGTTGGCACACAGGCCTCATATCTCCAAGAAACGTTTGATCTCTGTATGAATGTTGAGTCTGTGCACACAAGATGCTTATTAAAGCAGAAGGTGGAATCTTTCTTCCATCTGATTTATATCAGGTGCAAGCCCATGGATGGGTAATTTGGCTGATGGAAGCATTTTTATTACAGAGCTCGGGTTGTATTGGAAATGATAGGCCTGCTTTACAGCATTTGTGGACTGGAGTTTACCCCTCTCTTTTGTCTACAGCTGATTCTACTGGAATGTTTGTTTAGACTCATCCCCTAAACGAAGCTTCACCTGGAATCTGTAGCAGCTCCCAAGATGGAGACAGGCTGTCAGATATACCTGGAGCCAGATGTAGGAGTTTCTACATCCATTTAGGGCTAACTGTGGGACTAGAAATGGGGTAATGGTTCCACACTTATTAAGATTCATAAAACAGTAAATGAATGCTGAATAAACACTGCCTGGTGAAACTTAATAAAAGAGAGGGAAGCCATAACAGCAGTGAATGTGAACTTTCATTCCTATTTTCCGTTGCTGATTTTAACATAACCCATATTGAGAGTGGTGGGGTAGAATGGGATCTTGGGAGAATAGCATAAACCTCTTAAAGTTACAATGGGCCTCATTCACAAACAAATCTGTGCTTAATCAATATTTTCTTAACTGAATATGTTCGCACTCTGCGTATAAATTCAGAACTGCCTCGGATAATGCATACACGATGCGTAGCATATTCAAACTGCTTTCATTAAAAAAGACTTTATTAGACAACAATATTTAAATCCGTGCCCATGTGTATTGAATATCTTAATAAAATGTTTTAACCGTAATATACTATACAATATAATTGAGTGACCTAGTCCTGGCTTACAATGGAGTTGATGAGAATGTCCTTTCATTGTTTTTATTGCCTTAGCCTATAATGATCGGCTACTTCCGCCATATTTAGTGCTATGAAATTGCACTTGTATAGCCAATTAGTGAATGAGGCCTATTGTCCTCATGAAGCTTCTTACTAGCTGAACAGAAGACAACGCTGGTATTTCTACAGCTCAAAAGTGTTACTCAGTATTCCTAGTATGCAGTATCCTACACAGCATCTTCATGTTGTAAGTATTCTGAAGTATCTGCTGGAAGCGGTGATGTTCTGTATCATGTCTGTAGACCTTGGTGCTGTCACATTCCTTCACTGGCATGGCAGCAGTGTTCCTGTTTGTGTCTTTTCTCAGCCTTTTCTCTTTTCACACGCCAGCCTCTTTGGCTCAGAGCAGCTGCTGATAGGCATTAGAATGAAATGATGGGAATATTTGTTCTACTCACTGACACCATCACCGTGGCCAGCACATTGATTCTGTCCATCTCTTCTTCCTGTATTACCCCCATGTTTCATTTCCTGGGCATATAACATGGTGAATTTGAAGCAGTACACAGAGATTTCGCCTGATTTGCGTGTTTAGATTTGTCCTCCATGACCTCAGCAACCCACAGACTCAATTTTAATGAGCTGTTTTAGAAGTGCGGGCATTAGAAAGGACTTTGAAATAAAACACAAAAATGAATCCCCGAAAAACCTATCAAAACTTTCAAGGCAATTCTTATTAAGGTCTTCTTATTTTTCTTCCAACGCCTTGTTAAAAACATGTGTTTTCTGCAACTTCAAGTTATCCATGACGGAATTATAAAATTGTTAGGCTACAGATCAGAGACGCGTTGGAAGCCTATTCGTCACGGGTTTTCATGGAATCAACCTCTACAGGAATCTCTTCCACCATGTCAAAGTAGACAATGATGGAGTATTTGGCAAGGGTGCAAAGAACTGCTCTACAAGGGAAATCCGGTAAAAGAAAATCCTTTAATAAACAGAGATTCAACACGCTATCCTTGTGCAACGATGACAAAGAAGCACAGACAACAGTCATACTTCTAGGACAGGATTTGTTGTCAATTGAGCTTTTTGGTTTACACTTTATTTCATCCAAAATGTCAGTCAACATCCTTTCCCAGAGGATACTAAGCCTGTGCAAAATGTATCTATGTAATACGTTCCAGGTTCTTTAAATGACTCGTACCAAAGATCTTCCAGTCGGGATTTCCTAATCTTCCACAATTCTGTGTGTCTGGCCTGCTGATAAAGACACTGGTAAATCCCTCCTAGCCTGTAACGCAGACGTTTACTGAGTAGAGAATGTGTTGCACCCATGGTGGATGTATCATAGTACTTGAAGATGGCACTGATTTACTTGAATGAAAATTGCTCACCTAGGGCATAAATCCTAAAAAATGTCTAGCTTCTGTGTTGTGCAGCCCACTGCACATACGCATTTCCCCCGCCCATGTGTTCCCACTTGGCCCATGGACTTTAATTTGGGATGTTGTCATGCAAATCATTTTTTTTTGTTCTAGGAACATTTTACAAACATAAATAATTTTATGGATTACAAATGAATAAGCCAAGAGCAATAATTAGCCTTTGTTTGCTGTTCGAGATGTCCTGCTGACAGTTTTACGGACTTTTATAATGGAGGTATTTGGGGAAAAAAAAAATGTTTTTGCTGCAATACTACGAGTGCCCACCGGGGCAAATTGGCACCAAGGCTGAGTTGTGCCATATCAAAAGCTCTTTAAATACATCTGAGGTTCTACCACATAAACTAGTTTTTAAATATAGATTAGTTGTTGTTCAATATTTACACCCAGTAACTGCCAGGTGTAAACTGAACCAAGTAGAATAAAGTTAGTCTACTCTCGTGTTGTTTATGGAAGTTATGTTTCTTGTAATCTTGTGATGCTGCAGTTACTTTCTGTTTACATGCATTTCTTTTGATCAGTCCTTCTTAAAAATGTTCTCTTGCAAAAGATTTTAGTAAATCACTAGTTTGAAACTAGCAGTAACTACAATCTTAGGAACAAATTTACACACAAACTTAGTAAATCATTTTCAAACAGCTGGGGCAGCCAATTCAGATATAAAACCTATTTACAGTCAGAGATTCAGATGTTAGAAAACTCCTTCCCACAAAGCATTGCTTTGGCCTCAGACATCCAGTTTCTGTGAGGTGCTAAATATCGCTGAGGTCTGGAAAGTATTCTGACTCCATTTAAAAATCAGTTGCAGCCTGATTCCTTGTGAAATTGATTTGGTGTGTTGCAGACAGCCACATACAATGCCGAGACAGTCCACAAATTGCATGTACAGTGTGAAGAAAGTGTGCAAAAAACGTGAGATGAACAGATGGAAAAGATCAAAAAACTAGGACTGGCAACAGATTGTGTGAGTTTGATTCTTAATGGGACATTTGAAAAATGGCTTAGCACTGTTTAATGCAATAATAATGTGCTGAGCAACACCACAACCCAATCTCTCTACACATTTTCCTTTTAATGACTTTTACAGACTATTACTTTAAACAACATAATGGTATACAAAGTCATTATATCTGTGTTTGATTTTCAGGACTAATCGGCAACATTGCTTTGTCAATAAACTCGGGACTGATTGGGAGATTGTGTCTCACTCACTGCTTTGTATGCTTTGAGTTTCAGAAAGAGGACTAAGGTCAAAGAGTGCTAAGTTGGTTAAAGAATGTTAATAGGTCATAATCATCTCTGTATTTTCAGACAAATCTGATAAAAAGGCCTCTGCGCTGGCTCTGATTTTCTGATTTTGTTTGCAGGCTGCTCTCCCCAGACTTGGCAGCCCGTGACAATGAAATAACTGTTATAAGAATGATCTGACATGAGTATAAATACTTTCCGTGGGTAAATGACCCTTTTCCTGGACACACGCACTCCAAGATCAAAAGGCTATATCCTCTGGACTCCAAGAGCCACTGATTAAACACATTTCAGAGGTATTTCCCTTCCATTTCCAGGGCAGATCTGGCAAAGCCATATGAGATGTGTTTCATTAAGTTGTATCTTGAAATGTAGTCCCTCGTGTGTGTGTGTACAGTAAGTGAGAATACAGTATGCCTATGTATGTGCACATTGTTTGCTGGTGAGGGGAAGTCATGTGGCGTGTTGCCAGTAAAGTCTCTGAGTTTCTCAAGAAAGACAAGTGGCATTGTTCCGGGAGCAGATACCAGCTTTACTGCCAAATCCCTGCCGGCTGGACTGAAATTTCAGCCATGTAAAGAGAGCAGGAGTGGAGCAGCCTGACAAAAGATGACATTGGCTTGTAAGTTTTAGGCGATGACGCTCATGGGGATTCCATTATGTGGCTGTCACACAGCATTAGGCGGGACAGCAAACACTTTCATGTGTGGATTACCATTTACCCATTGGAGATAATAGATATTTGCCTTAGCTAATCCACGCCTCTATTGATTTTTTTTCCCTTTAATAACTTCTTGCAAGCAAGCAAATTTTAATATGCTGACATGTAAGAAGCTGGAACAAAAGGCTGTTTTTGACACGGTTAACTTTCACTTTTATCACTTTTCAATACAAATATGAGATATAAGATCATTTTGACAACCACATTTTTTTCCAACGCCATATATTTAAACTACAGAAAATATATTACAGAAACTCAATTGTTAAGATAAAAATGAAGAAAATAATCTTCATTCAATAAAATGCTTAGGTAAGGTCAGATGGTGAATAGTTGTGTCTGTTATATTTCTGTCCATTACGTGATTAAGATACAATAGTTCTTATACCATACTAATTCAATTTACAAAAACAAACTGTCTGCATATTAAAAGTCTGAAATCACTTGAGCCTCTGAGCCATTGACCATTGTTGTCGACGAATTATAAAAAAGCACCAAATATATATTAATCCGCCACTGTACTAAGTACCCAACAATTACGCAACTCATTCTTGTTTGAGAAACATTTGTTAAAAACTACAGTGCCCAGCTGTTTTGGAAAATGTTTTATCTTTTTTTAAATGTATGTTTACATTCATATGTTTTTTTTTTTTAAAGATTTATCTCTTCACTTAGAAACAATGAGCTTGTGGCTAATTGCAACAGACAGGCTTAACACATTTTGGAAAGTGTTGAAAGTGTTGAAAGAAAAAATGGGATTTGTTAACAATAAGAATATATAGAATATCATCCAGCCATATCCTTAAATCTACGATATCAAATAGTTTAGACAAACCTCCCTTTCTGTTAGGAAATTGCTTTATTTATAAGACACATTTATAAGTACATTGACTCTGCAGATAAGTCATAAAAAAGCTGGTAAGACCATCAGTAACATCAACAAATAAGAACTGTTCTCCTTATATTCCCCACCAACCATTTACCCCCACCACTATAAAGGCTAAATTAAAAAAATTAACAAAACTTCAACATAGATAAGCCATGATATCCCATTTAAAGTTGTTGGGTAAATGAACACTGCTTCAAATTCTGCCTCCCACGCACACAGCATGTCATGATAGCTATATGCTGGAATATTACAGAGATAAAGAAAGTGTAGGTTATAATTGTGGACATGAAAAAGAAATTTCTTGAACGATTTTCTTCATTTTGGTTCAGTTGTATGTTACAAAGCTAAAAGAAATATGCATCTTTGTCTACATTTTCACAAGTTCCTAGGATGGTAAGAGAGGGAGGTAGATTCAGATGTTTGCTGTCTGGGGGCTCTTCGTCCTCGGCTTCGGCACAGGTGAAGGTTGTCCTTCGGCAGCTGTGGATAGCTGTAAGGATCTGTTTTCAGTCTGAGCTTCAGGCTGAGAAACGTTCTCGTAACAGGATCTGGGTGAAGAATTGTGCCTCAGTGGTGGAGAGTCCTCAGTCGGGTGCAGAGTCTCATAATCTTGGCTGATGAAGTCGGGCTCTCGTTTGTTTAGAGAAAGCATTCTCATCTCCCCTTCATCCCTGCGTCGCATTTGGTTTTTAATGCGTATGTTGCAGCAACATAACACGGTGATTAAGATGAGCAACAACAGAATCAGACCTGCTCCTCCTGCTAGCACTGCCAAAACAGCTTTGGATGTAAAACAGATTGATGGTGGTGCTGGACTTGTACATGCTGGCCGGACAGTGTCACTCTTCTCCTTGCTGACTCTGTTTGCCACACTACATGTAAAGCTCCTCTCCCCTTTCAGCTGTGCCAGCGATATGCTCAGGGTTTGTCTTGTTTCGCTGGTCAAGGTCTTTTCATTGAGGGTCCATGAGAACACCAAACCCTGAGGTTTAGCTACGAGGCAATTTAGATTAACAGCACCAGACTTGAGGTCACAAATGTAGCTGAGTTGAGGTTTTGATACCTTGTCCATCATACAGAGACGACCAGTCCACGTTTTAGCCAGAGTACCGTTGGGATTCATCACTGTTGCTTGGTACGCCCCTGCACTTGAGAATTGTAGGTTCTTCAGCAAAAGAGATCCAGTTGTAGATATGTCCTCCGACTTTCCAACAGACAATTTGCCTTGTTGTTTGTATAAAATCATCGTGCTATTATGAGTCCATTTCAGCACATGTGAGTTTGCCAGTCCCTCATAGACAAACGGCAGAGTTAGACTCTGTCCAACCACAGCATGAAAATCACAAGTGTCCTTGTTTGCTGCCGTGAGGTTGATGAATCCCGACAGAATGATGACACCGAGTGTGGCGACAAAACACGCCATGATATACAGGAGTAGACCAAGGTATCCGTATAGCAATCGCTTGACCGTAATGATTCCCTTCTCTAGTTTAATCTTTCATTTACAAGCCCTGGTAGAGAAGCAGTCCCGTCGAGATGAGTCGTTACAAAAGCCACACAGAATATAACTGGCACGTAAATGACAGACTTCAGCCCTTAAAGAGAAGTGAATCTTGAAGGAAGGAAAGGGAAGGAAACTTTATTGGAGCCTGCTTTCAGTTCTCTGAAGATGACACAAAGCCTAGTCAAAGTCATGCGGCAACTGACATTTTCTGCCCACGAGAAGAATATATATAGAAATATGTGTCTTACGTCGCAATTTGCTGCAACAAGCATGACCTGATGGAAAAACAATTGTGGTCAAAACATTGCTAAATAAACCACTGAAACCATATGAAATGTGTTTAACTCCTGCTTAGAAAAGTTAAGTTGAGTAAGTTTTGCTGCATTGTGAAATGTAGAGTATCTATATCCTGTTTCTGGATTGTAAATTTTAGGGTTGTTTAAACAACACACTTGCATATGAGGAACAAATAACAAGAAGAATAGAGAAAAGGATTAAAAAGGGTTGGGTTAGGGTTAGGCTAAAGTCAGAGCAGAATATATATCAGAATATACTATTTCAGTCTGTTCTTGGGAAAAACTCATGAATAACTCAACATGAATAACTCTACCTGATGTGTTCTGCAAACAGAACACTGCACCAATACACAGTTTAATATATCAGCAAGTTAAGATACAGAGTATATTAAGGTGCTGAAATATCATGGAAGGAGTTCCAAGATTTATCATCACTCTGATATTTCCCTGCTGGCTTTTGCATTTTTCATCCTGGTTATTGGTTTCTGCCTGTCAAAGAATACAAATGACTTTTATCTGTCACCTCTAAATTGGTTTAGTCAGGGCTGCCTTGTCTGATGAAGCAATTGAATAATGAGAGGCCGCCACCTCTTCAAAATATCTGTTGCAAATGCTTTTGTTTTACTGCCTTCAGTGGGGCAACTCGACTAGAGAGCATGTGCATTTCGTAATTAGATATGGGGCTATGCTGTCAATTAAAAATGTAATTAAATGCTTTCAATAAATCTCCTCTTGAGAGAAGAGCTGTTGTACAGAAAGCCACACAACAGTGTTTTACTTTTAACAAACGATAAACAAGGCTGCAGCCAAACTCAGTCGACCTCATTTGGCTCTGTGGTTTTAATCCAGCAAGTCTCCAAGTGGCACATATTCTTTTGGTTTTTAATTTGGTGGATCTGAAATGGAGTTGGCATTTTTTCATGGAATTAAATCAAACAATTTGCTCTTGAATTGTACCTCAATCATCATAATCAAGTAAGCTCTCTGTAAATCCCCTTCAGCACTTCCAGTAAAGCAGAGTCATAGTTCGGTTGCCATCGAGAAATACCCTTGTCATTCTATAATTCATGGCAACACTAGAATAAGTTCATTTTACACCCCACAACTATAATTTCATGCAATTAGCAGTGATTCACAATCTCTCTGTAGCTCTCAGAACCTTCAAAGATACCCATAGCAAGAAGAACACCTGTTTCTTTTAGTTTCACCTTCATTACACTTTTTCCTACCCTGAGGGAATGGATTGATGGAGGGGGCGGACGGAGAGTCGAATGCAATGGATTCCTAGCTACAAATGTTGTAAAGATTATATCGCCCAAGAATTTGTCCTGCAAGCTCACAAAAAAGAACATGTGTTTAATACGCATGTGTGCTGAGCTGAAAGCAGCAGGTTCATGCAGGAAAAAAACAGAGCAGACATATGGTGTGCTTGTGTTTTATATCGTAGCTGACATGAGCCAAAGAAGGCCTCTATTCCCAACCCCTAACTTTTTAATCAAATTTTGCAATACGGTACCTGGCAACAAAAACTTACATTGAAATGCAATGACGGTTGTGAGATGGAAGAGTTTCAAAATCCAGCTTTTTTTGCCCGTTGTGTTTATTTATCACAAAACAAACACGATTCAGTAATAAGAAAAGAGACCAAAATTCTTTGTTCTTAGTGGCTGTAGAAGCTGAATATCCCCCAAAATGTTTCATCTGCAGGGAAGTTGGTAATTATTGAGACATTCTGTGAAGTGCATTGTGTTTGAAATAAAATTATATATGCAAGCCAACACTAACTTTAATCTTTTACTTTTTTACATCCATATCTGCCTATAGAAACACATACCCCTCTCTATTTTCCCCAAAGGTAAAATGCCCTGCAATGTTCCTCCAGTGTCGAGTGGATGCACAACCTCATAGCAAGTGTTTCATTTCAAATTCAGTGTGCTGGACGAGAGCCAAAACAATGAAACATACATCACTGTCCTAATACTTACAGCCTGCACAGCGCGAAGATAAATCCTAGACATATTATTTGGGGACCCTCCACTAACACCACTCCATAAAATCTAAATCAACCACAGTCTGCATCATGTTAACGTACAAATGTTTTTCCCATTCACAATCTATGGAAACTGGTGTTTTCCACATAATAGCTCCTCTGTAAAAAAAAAAAAACTTGACAGTTAAATAAATGATGAGGCTTCTTTAGAGACATGATTTGCACAATAGTGCATTTCATTGTGAAATGTAGCAACCCACCAGGCTGTTGGACTGGAAGCTTTTGATTGGGCCACATCTGTGATCATCTCCATCTGTTACTATATATATATATATATATATATATAACTGTCCTGATTCTGTTCACTTCTGCTCCTGTCCTGTGTGTTTCCTGTCCTCCTCTGTGTTTCCTGTCTGCCTCTCATGTGCAGAAGTATTTCCTCAGAGAAAGAGGAACCAAGCTGTAGTGAAGACATACTTGTGTCTGATGCCATGGTGACATCATATGACATAGTGCCTGATGTCAAGGCAAGAGTTTCCATGTTCAGTATGCAATGGTTTAACAAAAAGAGCTCAGTTATTCTCAAATCACTAGCAGCAGATATTGGTGGTGCTCTTGGAAGCTTTAGGGAAACAATAGATCAAGTAGACCCAATTAGTATTAATAATTATCCAGGGCATTTTGAATGTGTAGCTTATGATGAGTGCAATCATTGCCAAGGGCCTCCATTAAGTCACTATGGTTTCATGCAAACAGTATGCTTTGTGCCTGATTCCAAATCAAACACAACAGTTTTATCATCCCTTCTGATCCCCTTCTGTAATATGCCCTCTTAATTGGCTACAAAGTAAGGGCTGAATAGACTGGGCATGGGTTAATTGGCCTCAGTTCCTGGTCCCTGAAGCTTTCCGGCAGGGAGCCTGTCTGCCGAGCTGATGTTTAATTCAGGGGCCCAGATGGAGGCATAGCAGCCTGGCTGTGAGATCCCTGACTCACACTTTCACCAGACGTGGCTGTGGCTCTGGATAGCCCCGGGGGAACAAAGGGGGTCCGGATGGCCCCTCCTGCTCTCCAAAGTCAATATAATCTAGGACAGTAATATCACTCTGAGCCATTAAAGTACTTTGAAGTGGATGAACAGATGCTTTCTATGTGCCATGGTCACACCAACATTTAGAATGAATCAAAATTAATCGATTACAATGGAGGCAAAGGCCAAGTTCACACATGACTTTCAAAGTCGGTGGATCGCTGTACTTTTCACACTACACAATTTGCTTTCTGTCAGTCGGGAGTTTTGACGCGGTGGTTTTCACACTAGATGACTGACTAGCAACAGGGGGTCACACACGACAAGCTCTTTCACTGGGAGGAATCCCCTGTGAGGTCTCTAAACTACATGTTATCATTAGAAAACCCATGTGAGATGTGGCACCGGCGTAGTCATGCTTGTTTTGGTGTTGTCGTCGGCCCACGTTTTTCCATAAGTTTTTATTTCCCCTATATAGATCAGTCACTGTGTTTTGTGATGTTTATTTATGCAAACATCCAACACCCTGGGTGCAACAACTTGTGTCTAGCGCTCTCATCGGCTTGAAGGTTGCGTCATTGGACAGTTCACACATGCCGTTTAAGGAAAGATGTGCGAGTACCAAGCCAATGTGGATTTGCCTCTGATCTGGGGATTTTGTCCAGGAGCTCCAGAAAATGTCTTTCATGAACTTTGATGCACAAATTGTGTCGTTTACTTTCAAACCCTCTTCACAGTGCTGACATCTGAGGTCAGTGGAAGCTAAAAGGTATAAAGTACATCACACAAGGGGCATATTTTTATTGCCTATATATATCCTGGTCACTAGGGCTGTAGGTATAGACTTTGGGGACCAAAGCAACTTAGATTATTCCTATTTAGAAAAAGTAAATATATCGTGTGTGCTACCAAGACTTCAAAAATAAGAACTTTTGTTCCTGGCAACCACTGAAGTTTGATCCTTGGCCAGGCCTGGAGCAATGTCAGCTAAATCCAAAGGGAACTTGTGCATCCCACGAAAATGTTTACCTCCGCCTTGGGTACCGTCCAGGAAAATTTCATCTAAAAAAAAAAAAAAAAAGGTAATTTCCATATGTACGGTCTAAATTCACCACAGTCTGTACTGTTTTGTTCAGTGTGAATGATTTGAGAAACATACATATATTTACCTGTTGTGTCTGTCAACATGAGATGTTAAGAGTTTTGCTGGTTATTTGTTTCAGGAAGTATAGCCTAAGCATGTTGCAGAGTACTGTTATGTGTCATTGACACTGCTGTAGTTTGTCATGATGCCTAATGTAAAATGAGCTCTGCATATCTTCAACACAGGCTACAGGAGAACAAGGACACAATTTGTCAGACGTTTAGCTCAAGAGCGGAATCTTTTCACATGTACATCATTTTTACGTCCTATCTCATCCGGCATAGCTCCATTACGTTCCCCCTATTCTCCCGAAGCTGACATTAAGGCATGTTTGAATGCTTTCACAGATCGCAGTCCCCGCAACTTAAAGTCACTCCCACTACTTCCCCAAAATGGTTGGAGAGACAAAAGCCAGACCTTTTTCTTTTGACACAGTTCAAGAGATCACCGTTTATATTTCCTCTTGCATTACATGGGTCTCTAAATTGTCTGGTTTTGCTGGTGCTGGTGGTAGCGGGGGGATACTGCGCTTCAAACACAATATAGGTTGGGACTTATCATTGTTGACGCCACACAGGAGGAAGCCGCTTATATCATCTTTGTTTTGCTCTGGCCCAGCTGTT